CTAAATTTGATGCAAGACTGTAGCTGAAGTAATATTTGTGATTGTAATGTTTCCAAGAGAAAATTGAAATACAATAACCAATTAGTAGTGCCGTGGTCATCTAATAACTACTGACAGTGAATGATTTCAGAAGGACATGGCGTTATATAAGAGTGATACCTGTGTAGCGAAGTCTCTTAACAATCCAAAATTGTTACCTTTATCTTACATGACTCATCTTGACTGCTCTGTTTAGACTTGTTGAGGAGACCTTCACAGTCGATGAGGTGATAGACATGCTGGATGGACTGCGGACTGTTGTACACAGTGAAGTGGAGTCAGAGCTCATAAATACAACTTACACCAATGTTTTACTTCTGCGGCAGCTCTTTTCGCAAGCTGAGAAATGGTACCTTAAGTTACAGACAGACGTCTCTGAATTGGAGAATCGGTAACGTATGCTGGGATATACAGAATGTCTTTCAATAATAAGAAAACTTCAAAGTGTTAAATATTTGCATTCTTTTCCTAACCATAGAAACCTTTTACTATTGTATTGATGATCGGTTAGTTTCAAGTCTTCCATCTATAAAGTAGCAAGATATGCAATAATTTCAAATTTGTCAAATTTTATTGGTAATATTCTTACTTTAATCAGTTAAGAGCAGGTGACGGGATTTGACTGAAAAGCCTTTGTTGTCCGAGTAGATTATATTTTAATCAAGGATGCTAAATCTTGACAGTTCTAATGCATATACCATACCATTGCATGACATGATCTGTTGCATTTATTATATTTGCATAGAACTTCATTCTGTACTTCTAACAAGAATCTTACATGCGATAATGAGTATAGCATCAGCCTGGTAAAGTGTGTTTCACAGCATAGCTCTTTTAGTAAATAAATGCCTCCCTTTATTTTTCTTTTCAAGAGAATTGTTGGAACAGGTTGCTGAGTTTGAAAAGTCAGAATTTACATCTTCGAACAAGAAGGTAGAGTTTTATTTTAATCAAATCATAATCAAATGTCATGTGGAGTCATGACAGATGTTTAAAATACTTAGTACTGACTCTTTGTGTTTAAGAGAGAAAACCAAAACAAAACCCCCACGCTTTTTTCAAAACGATCTTTGAAAGTCTTCAAAAATGAGCATTTTGCAGTTCAGCACCAAGGCTCACACTGAATTGCCTTGGCTGTTTCCAGATTGCAGATTCTGCACATCCAGGGCATGTCTCATAATGCTCATCCCAAAGTCAGCCAGACCAGGGATGTGTTGGAGTGTCTGCTCCCGAGTTCCCTTCCTCCTGGAAACTGGGATAAG